CCCTAAAGGAAAAACAACCTCCAATCCAGATTGATATACCTCACAAACTATCTTTCAAAATTGATGAAGAAATACGATGTTTCCTTGACAACAAACACCTAAGGAAATTCATGACCACCAAATCAGCCAAGTATTCTGAAGGATATTCTAAACAGAGATAACAAGAATTACAACTCCATGAATACCAACAGAATGAATCTACCAGGCAAGGCAAGAAGTTAAACAGATGAAGAAAGAAGGGGGCCAACAACAAGAAAATAACATGACAGGGTAAGTCAATACATATTATAACCATCAATGTCAATGGTCTCAATCCACCAGTCAAAAGAAACAGACTGGCAGAATGTATCAAGAAGCAAAATTCAACAATATGCTGCATACAAGACACACATTTACTTCAAAAAGAAATTCATAGACTGAAAGTCAAAGAATGGAAAACAATACTCTATGTGATAGAAACCCAGAGAGAAGCAGAAGTAACTATTCTACTTGCAGAAAAAGTGAATTTCAAGCCAGGACTGATTAAGAGAGACAAAGAAGGTCATTACATTCTTGTAAAGGGAACAAGCCAAGAAGAACTAACAATCATAAAAATATATGCACAAAACACCAGTTTACTCAACTATATAAAATAAATATTAATGGACCTGAAAAATCAAATAAGTACTAATACAATTGTAATGGGAGGGCTCCATACTCCACTGTCACAAATAAACCAGCCAAACAAAAAATCAACAGTGAAATATTAGAACTGAACCAAACTTTTGAACAAAGGACTTGGTAGATGTCTACAGAGTGTTCTACCCCACAACATCAGAATACACATTCTGCTCAGCTGCACACAGGATGTTCTCCAAAATAGACCGCATAGACCAAATAGCTCATAGAACATGCTTAGGTAAATGTAAAGGAATTGAAATTATCTCATGCATATTATCAGACAGTAGTGCAATGGAATTGGAAATCAATGGCAAAAGAAGCCACAAGAACTTCCTAACGCATAGAAACTGAACCATATCCTCCTGAACAACTAATGGGGCACATGTGAAATTAAAGAAGAAATTAGTTTCTACACTTAAATGATGATGCCAATACAACATACCACAACCTATGGGATGGAATGAAAGCAGTTCTATGAGGGAATTTACAGCAGTGAACACTCATAAGTGGGCTCAGAGTGGGCTCATACAACCTAATGTTGAACCTGAAGCTTTTAGAAAAAGAAGAGCAAATCAAGCCCAAAGCTCATACAAGGGAGGAAATTATCAAGATCAGCGCAGAAATTAATACAATAGACTACGAAAATAGTTTTCTGGGCAAGTGAATCAGTGGTAGCACATAGAACCTTCCTTCAGTTCATGGAGATTTTATGTCTACTCCTACTGATTCCTTTCTTTTGGCCTGTGGCATGGTGATTCGCACTGTGTTGCTATTATTATTGGCTTGGGCCTGGTGGTTGCAATCAAGACTTACCCCTTCTCCACAATCCAATTATTCACTCTACAACTGTACATTACACAGAGCAGGCAACTATTTACAGTGTGCCTGCTTGGAGGTTGGTGATCTGCTAACTGTTGAAGGACATGGAAAGAATCTCATCTTAGTCACTCCCAAGATGCACTGCTTCACTACAACATATGCTTGGAGGGTAGGCACATCTACCTCTGCCCCTCCTCATCTCGGTCCTACCACTTCTCTGCCTACTTCTACTAATGTCACCACTAGCTTCCCTTGGACCAACACATCTCAAACCTGTCCCTGTATGGACCTGACCTTGCTGGAGAGATACAATGCATAGCCAGTCCAATTGCCGGATTATTATGCTCTGGCCGGAGCTAATCCAAGGTATTGGCATTTCAATTATTACTCTCCTGATAATTCTAACCTGCCGGACACACTGGCCCTCGCTAAGTGTTATGGCTGTGTCTTGATGTCCCCCCAAAGCCTCATGCATTTGTAGGTGGGGCTTTTCAAAGTTGGCTGAATCTAGAGTGTGTGACTGATTCATGCTGTGATTTTAGACCGTAGGGCACTAGGATTAAGGATGTGAGTGCTGCCCACCCTCAGTAGTCTGAATAAGATAAAGGGGCAGAAAGATGCTGTTAAGGCCTCTTGTTGCTTTTGCTACCTCGAACTGTTCTCCTCTGAGATGACCCTGTGCCACGTGCCACTCTTCATCGGAACCAGCCAACTATGGACTGAAACTCTATGAAAGCTAAAGAAAGCCTTCGGTTATAAGCTGAATAAACCTTTCCTCCTTTAACTTTGGGTGTTGGGATCTCAGCAATGAGGAAAGTAACTAAGACACCAAGCAACACAAAATTTTCCTCCCAAAACTGGCTGACAATTCCAAGACACTGGACATGTCTCACAACTCATTCCCAGTAAGTATGTGGACAACATACGTGAGCTAGACAGCCTAGTTCAGGTTGCCAATGCTGAGTTTAACCATCGGGGTAGTGCCTGCACCGGCACATTGAGCTGGATAGGTTTTTGTACCTGTTCAGGCAAAGGTTAGTCGGTCATGGCTTTTGTGCGCTTGGCATAGTTTATAAAGTGGCTGAAATACCGATTATTGTGTCTGATACTACATTTGGTTTGTTTTTCATTTAGCTCCGTACTGCTCCACAAAAGATGAAAAAAGTAAATCAGCCAGATATCTTGTTTGATTTCTCTCCACACCTTTCCACGCACACCTGAAGGTGTGAAGGGATGGAACGATGCGAGCAGGACAGAATCCATCTTGTGCTCCTGCCTGGCTTCAGACTTGCTGCTGGAGGCTGCACCAGCTTGTGATAACCACACGGCCGGTGCGCCTGTGCGATAACTTGTGTGGTAACTGTTCTGTGTGATAACTGTGCGGCCTGTGTGCCAGAAACTTATCTAATGGACCCCTTTTGATAAACTTATAAAAATATGTTTTCTAAAACATCTATTTTTACCATAAAGAAAAATGTTTTTATCGCCACAGGATTAGCATGTTATTTGTACACCCTAAGATTAGCACATGTTGTTTGTACCAAATTCCTCACAGTACAAAGGACCAAGGCTTGCGCTGCTCTGGGGCTGGGTCTTCTGGCTCAGTGCTGTGGACTCTGCCCTGGGTGCTGCTCTATGCCCAGCTGCGAAGTCCATCTCTGTGACTATCTGTGACTGTCACCCTGCCTGTCCTGAATGCATGGTCTCCGGATGATTGTGAGCTCCAGGGCTGCCCGTTGGGCCCCCCGTGTTCTCATGGCATGTTGGCCGAGTGGGAGAAGGGTCCTGCGTGGTCTGCCACCTCCAGCTTCCAGCTTATGTGGTGTGCGAGCTCCTCTGTCTTGCTGTGAACGTGATAAATTCTCAATAAACCACTGTGTTTGGGAAATTGCTCGACTCGGTATCTTGGCGTGGCAGATGTGCCAATTTCCTTTGGCTCCTTCAAGCCCCTGCACGGCCTAACGCAGAGGCCCTTTTGGCCTTTAGAGTCGCCTCTGTGTCCACTCACGCAGGGCACCAACTCGCCTCAGTGGCTTCACGCACACCTTCCACTCTGCCATCCAATGTAACACTGCCTTCCCCTCTCTGAGCTAGGGTAACGAGGCAGCCTGCTTTAAAAGATCTCATCAGATCGGCAAAGGATCTGCCTTCCTTGGCCCTTTCTGTGCGCATGTGTGTGTGTGAGCACGCGCATGTTCACGCACGCGTGGGTCCCAGTGCAGCCATTCCGGGCCACTTTGCCCTTCCAATTTCTCATCCTCATGCTCCCTCTGCCAAAAGTCCCAAATCGCACCTACTGCCGGCCTGACTTTCCAGTCACTTCTCCACTGTGTCTGTGTGCAGGACGAGGTGAATGTGTGGTTGTTACCTGTGCTTATCAAGTCTGGGTCAGTGTGTATCTAGTGGGATGAGGGCCACGTGTGTCCGCACGTGGAATACACATGCTCGCGGCCTGGCTCCAAAGGACCTCACACAGCCTTCCGAGGTCCTGCACCTATGCTAGCAGGGTTAGGGTTGGGGCCATAACAGGGATAGGACAAAACTGCCCGGGACTCCCAACTCACACGCCTATTTGTGGGCCGCGTGGGTGGGAACTCCCTATGAATCACGTTTTTGTGCCTCTGGCCTGTCCAGGCCGCAGTACAGTGACTGAGGGGACATCGGGGAGGGCGGGGCCACGCCCCCTGTGGGTAATACATGAAAGGAATTTCACAGAGGAAAAAAGCGCTGAAGGGCTTGGAAAAAGCAATTACAAAACACAGTAAAAATCTAGTCTAAAAACACCCACGCGATGTTGTATTTACAGTTTTAAACTCTGACTCAGCAGGCTACTTCCAACTCTGTACCTCTATTCTTTGGCCACGACAAGCCCAAAACTTTTAATTTTTACTAAGGGATTTGGGTTGATCTTTTTTTTCTGTCGCGTTTTGAAATATGCATCATTACGAAACCGCTCTAGATGTGATCTCTGTTGAAAAGTTCACGTTTTGTCCTATAAGGAGAAGGCTAGGACAACCTTCGGGTTCCAAGAAAGCCAGCACATAAAGGGTTTATTTACTCTTCTCTTGCCCCCGGTAGACGGCTGCGTTCTTCGGAGAAGGGCTAGTTAGGCGCCTGCGGAGACACCTGAAAGGGGGCATTCATGTGGTGTCTGGCGTCCGCCCCGCTGGTCTGGGAGGACGAACCAACTCCTCGGAGCGGTGCGGGGACTCGTTTCCGAGAGCCCCATCCGCGAGCGAGCGCGCGATTGGGCGGCGCCGCCACCTTCGCGAGGGGCC